AATGGAGGAGAAATTAGCGGTAGCGAATCAATCACCCGGTGCTTTATGACCAGACCTACCGGGATATAAACCGGAGGAGCCAGGCATGGAGGGAGGTGGCAGAGACAGTGGTAGGTTTTCGCCTGTTTTGGGGAGTTTATATCCAGTTTACTTCGGGCTTTTTGGCTTCGTATGTCGCGGGCGGGAGATTCATGTGATTGGTTGATCGCAAAAAAATCCCCAAGCTTCAGATACGCCCACCTCCAAGATTTTTTTAACGCTGCCGTGGAGACGGCCCGTAATATGAAATATGAACGTTAGTTTTTAACTGAAATGATCAAATAAAGTCAAAATGTCACAGTGTTTACAAACATTGACCATACCGTTCACCAGCCCCCACCCCACTCTTTGTTTAAAACGAATTGGCCATCGGAATGTGTGTGTCCCAACCCCCCCCCTGTGATATCTCTTCACAGGGGGGAGAGAGTTAGACGCTCGTGAATTGTCAACGGGGGGGGGGCCTCTCTGCACGGAGGAGCCGCGGAGAAGTGAATCACAGTGATCTGCTATTTTAAAGTAAATTCAACACATATCGACCCTAAATATAGCATATATTAAGAACGAGAAAGTGTTAACATCGTTTTTTGGAAACATATGACCAATGTGCGAGGGTGATGACATCAGAGCATCGTCCTATGGGCTTAGCCCCGGACAGGTACAACAGGTATTCACTCAGAGGGGGGTAGTTACCCATTTACATGTCAAAAAGCAACATACAGTAGGCGGGTGGGGGATAGTGAACGTTTACATTTCTCTACCGCAGTGGTTCCCAAACTTTTTGTGCCCAAGGCACACCAAAGGACAAGTAAAAATCTCAAGGCACACCTATTGTGCGAAATAGCCCTTATAACACGTGTTATCACTCATATCATGTAAAATATCTGTAAATGTGCATAATTATTTACTAATGCCAAATAAAATGTATAGATAGAACAATCAGTGGTTCAAGTTAGTATATTCCTCAGTGTAACATATCCACTAGTTGCAAAGCTTAAACATTTTTATATATTTTTTTATTTTAAGGGAAAGGATGTTTTCACTACTCAGTTTGTCAACTATGTTACGGACAAACTTGATGTCATTACAATCATTTGATTAAGTCCTGCACTTCAAGTAAAATCAAATTTGAAAGGCTCTTGAGTCTATTCTACCATATATCCAAAGATTTTTTAAAGTTTAAAAAATAATTGTATTAAAGTTTTGTTTTTTTCATGTGATATGTTCAGCACTGTCATTAAGTTTAGGGATATTTTGTATTATAAAACTACCATACAGGTCATTTTGATAGTTTTAAGAGATGTCATGTAAAACTCCAACCTGTGTAGATATACATTATACTATAAAGGATATCAGAAGCACTATTTTAGATATTTTAAATTTGAAAAAATGAGGTGCAACATAGTTGACAATGAAAGTCAAACATTTGACGCAAATAACATAGTTGACTGGACACATTATTAACCATCAGCACTATGTTAATTTCAAGGCAGAAGTGCAAAATTCCATTGATAATGATGTGTAATGACGTCTACATGTCGTACAAATTGTCAACTAGGTTACCTGTCAACTAAGTTACTACAGTTATTACAGTACTGGGTAACTCAGTTGACAGGTAACCTAGTTGACAATTTCCCTATTTTGACCCATCATTTCAATGGTAGGCCTTGCCTGGATGACCACATGTCATTTTCTTGAACAGGTTAACATCACATTTGCACATATAATTGAATTAAAATCATTAAACAATTGTAAACCATAACAATGTACGTAACATTGTTGATTGTCAATGAGTATATTAATTGACCATGTGCTATTATACATAAAATATTGTAAAAATGTAGAGGACAATCACCACAGTGTGTTCAAAATGTCTGCCAAAGAGGAACATGGCATCATGTGATGCTGGTGACATGGTATTGGGACAAACAATTTTTGAGTTAAAGGGGGAAGTTCTGTTAGTAACATAGTTGACAGAACTTTTGCGGACATTCATATATTAAGATATTTAAATTATTTAAAGGGGGAAATCAATTAAAAATATGTTATTATTCTTTAGTATTTAGACTTTTGAAATAAATGAATCATTTTTTAAATTTACTTTAATGGTTTTTATTCATTATTTTGAATCCAAGACACCCTCAACTGAAAAACGGACATAGCAAAAACTGACAATTTAAGAACATCATGACACATTTCAAGCTAAATAAAGCATAGGATGCACATAATGTTTGTGTGATATTATAACATGCTTTCCAATAATAGGCAAAATATGATATTTTTGAAGAAAATAGTTAGAATAATTATAATTATCATCAATGGACATCAATGGACATGGAATGTACCCTAAATTGTAGAATCACTCAGCAGTTACATACACCAAACCTTCCAGTTATATTCCTATCAATATTATGAAGGCTTTTACAGAAGAGTTTGGTCATATATAATTCATAGCCTGAATTATATAACATTTTATACCTAAAAACATGGTGAAAATTGATATTTTAGGGCTGTTGACAGTATTTTCTGATTTATGGAGTGATACAAAGAGATATCACTCACTCAATTTCACTTTCCACTATGTCCACCGTTGTTTTTCACAACCAATGGCAGAACTTTATTGAGGCCTGTAATTAGTCAACTACAGGTCTCTTGAGTCAGTCTTTTTCTTCCAAAAAGCTTGTGACAAGATGTTATTGCTCTTGGGGCATTAAAAACAAGATTTTAACTTTAGTTTTTTATATAATATCTGCATTTTCTATTGTGAAAAACTAAGTCTTAGTTATTTAATATATAGCGCCATCTCCTGGTTAAACCCTGAAATTGGAGAATAGTGGGAGGGCCTAACATTCCTGAATACTGGTCTTTGGCAGGCAACTGGCTGGCAGTCGGCAGGAAGCTGTATGCTGGGGTCCAAAATAAGAGGCTCCATCTGTAGGTAGTTTGAGAGGTAGGCTAATTAAAATAGCTAAGGGTGATGATCTGACTTGAAGTGTGTGTTTTGCTCCCGCTGCATCACAGCGGGAGGAGCTGCGTGTCTCCGTCCTGTCAGATTAGACTTCACTCGCGTTTATGTCCATATCGAGATAAAGATAAATAATCTGAATTCAGTGTGCAGTTTACTTTTGCGGGGGTGAGCAGCAGAGGTGGGGGGAGGCAGGGCTATTGCCATCATTATCACAAAATGATCGTATAGAGGCAATCACACGGAGCCGTATGACCCCCCAGAGCGCTCCGTTCCCAGATCTATCCACCTTTGGACCCGTTGTCGTTTTCGGGGTCCGTTTCTATCGTTTCGTTACGGCCTCGTGTGGCAAAAAGGGCTATACGCAAGAGAAATATGCGGATACAACCCGTTTTCGTTCTCGTGGGGCACCAGCCTAATTGTAAGCTTGTCACTCAGAGTAACCAGTTAACTTAACTGCTGGAGAAGAAAGATCAGGGGGGGGGGGGGGGGGAGAGAGAGCTGTGGCTGATGGGCCATTAGGTGTGTAGACACACAGCTAATCACCTGAGAGCTGCCGTTTCATTCAGACTGTTTAAAAAAAAAAATAAACAACTCCATGTGTGATTGTTATAGCAGTAATATATAACACTAATAATACAGTAAACTATTAACACTGTACAGATTATTGTTTTCCCGTGGGATTAGGATTATCGGTAGTGAGAGCCACTGCGGTCAACTCAGCCGTCTCTCGCGTTTGCTTGGTCAAATGAGCAGTTCTTCATTTTTCAGTGCGCGATTTATAGCGCCTTTACGGTAATCGCTGAGAAACGGCACTAAGAGTAAAAGAATGCATGTTTTTTCTGCTTCATGCAATACAAATTATTTTTACCATAAATTCTTAAAAAAACTAACACTGTTTGACTCAGTCCTAGTTTGACTGCTACCAACAATAAAATGAAGTACTTTTACTGTCTTTTTTCTGGGTAATATTCTCAAATTCCCCTCCTGAGAACAAAATCATGCCCACTTCTGCTATATTTAATGAGATAAATGATTTTTAGCCATACATTCTTAATAAAAAGGATACTGTTGGACTCAGTACTTGTTAGACTACTACCACAAGTACAATCAAGTACTTTTACTGTGTACTTTTTTAGTAATACTCTGTCAAACTCCCCTCCCGAGTACAATAATTCATGTATTTGCTATATTTGATGAGGGATAAAATGATTCTTAGCCATAAGTTCTTAATAAAATTGGTACTTTTGGACTCAGTACTTGTTAGACTACTACCACAAATACAATCAAGTACTTTTATCGTGTACTTTTTGAGTAATACCCTGTCAAACTCCCCTCCAGAGTACAATAATGTATGTTTTCTGCCATCTTTGATGAGAGATAAAATGCATTTTCCTCCGGTCGGATGTGATATAAAAACAAACCGATTATTTTTGTAGTTGTAAACTCACGTGGATTACACTACATGTATTAGTGCATTAATTTCAATTCGGATGATGGTTACAAATCGTTTGTATGAGCCGGTCTGCATTTCCTGACAAAAAAACATAGCGATGGTTTTGTACTTACACCAACGTGGATTAAACAACATTATTTTGTTAAATAAAAACATGGTGATGTTTTGTAAATCATTACATGTCTCTTATTTAGCACAGAATATAATCCTATCCGTGACATATGGATCTTAACAAATATCCTCTATATCAGATACCTCTACTGTAGATCGATCAGCTGTTTATTTTTTTTTTCACATGAGTTCCACTGTGGCAGCTTTTTAATCACTGCACTGATCCATGATCCATTGTAGCTGGTTTCATTATAATTACATTTATTTATCAAGGGGGCGTATCAAGTCCTGCGGGGGGTTTTCCTTTTCAGCAGGGGCCCACCCCGTGCAGATCACGGACCCGCACGGGTAGGCGTCTGAAATGAAGTGCTACATCTGTATGTATCTGCACTTCTATCTAATAGCATTGTTTCCTCTGCCTGTGCACCCCAGGGCGACCTGGAACTTGAACCCTCCAGAGGTGCGAAATGCTCAGCTGCAGTTTGCAGGCTGGGGACCCCAAGACCAGCAACTGGTAAGAACTACAATATCCCTGATGTCCCTTGTCTCACATCTGCCTCACATCTGCCTGTTGACCAATGATGTTTGAATGTGAGGATTCAAACATTTGTATGTTAGAGATCAAGACTTAAAAACACACACACATATAGTAGTCAAAAAGTAGCCAGGTGCCAAATATGTGCAAAGTGCAACCATGCTGTGCCCTTTACTGCCAATTTATTAATTCATGAATTTAGGGGAATGTATAGCAGCCCCCTAATAGAGAACCGCAATGACGCTAACGATTAGATTTATGATTCGAAAATTATAAAAGTAGGGTAGACATGTGGATATTATCCGGCTGAACAAAACGTGATCTGTCTCTTCAATTTGTGTCAACCACAGACCTTATTTCGAGCTATTTTCCAAAATCCTATGGAGAAATTGCATTGGTTTTTGTCGAAGGAACCGGAAATGCTAACTTACTTCCGGGTTTTAGGACGCGTCACTGCGGTTCTCTATAGAGAGGCGAAGTCCCGCCCATCTACTTCCGATCCATGGGACCTTATTTCGGAAAAATTATGTATTGAAGTCAATGGGGAGAGAAAAATTATCTTTCGATCCCGTTTCAATTGTGCCACGAATTACACATATGATGTTTGTCAATCTTACAAAATAATTTCCATGTCAAAAAAGTCACAGTTTGTCATAAAACTGTTGAAATATAAGACTATGAAAAATACGCAACTAGAAAGACTACAAATCCCAGAATCCCGGTCCCGCATGCTGGCTCTTACGGAACCGACTAACTCCCCTTTTGTGTATGTACAGCTCTCAACATGCCCAGACTTGTAGTGATTTTCACCTCTTTTAATACTTTTCGCCTCATTCTGAAAGAAAGAAGTGAAATGTGCCAACGTGACGGCCGTCTTGGTGTATGGTGCGAGACGGGAGATGTAGTTCACTTTTTCCGAAATAAGGTCCCATGGAGGTCCCCCGGAAAGGGAGGGACTTCGCCTCTTTATAGAAAAAAAATTATATATTATATTATTATATAGAGAGGCGAAGTCCCTCCCTTTCCGGGGGACCTCCATGGGACCTTATTTCGGAAAAATTATGTATTGAAGTCATAATTCAATACAAGGCCTGTCAGCCTTCCATCTGTGCACAAACTTATCTTGTGCCCTCATTGGTCATGTGCGCGTTCGTGTGTGTTGGAGGAGGGGCTCTGTAAGGAAGTGGCAGATTTTCTCCGGTTGTGTATTTTCAAATTCTAGCGATCTCGAGCCGGTTTCTCAAACTTACCTACCCTACCTTTAACATCCCGATAGCAATGAATATCTTAAGTGCTTTGACAAAAAATCCATAAAAAAATGTCATCTGTGGAAGCCATAGTACTGTAAAAAGCACGACCAATCATTTTAGCCGGCTCGGCTAAAATAACTGGATGGCCTACCTGCCTGTCAGCCTTCCATCCGTGCACAAACTTATCTTGTGCCCTTGTTACGACCCGTCCTCTACCAAGTGGTAGTGGCTCGTGGGAAGACCCGCAACATAAAATAAACCACACAAAACACGCAGCACTTGTCGGCGAGCATTTATTAAAAGCGCACTGCCGTTACTCACATGTGCCCACCGGCAAACGAACCACGTCTGGAGGACGGCAAAAACAAACAAAAGAAGAAGGGGGCCTGGGCCAACCAGTCCTCTGGCCGTAGGACCCAGAACTTCCCTCCTCTACCCAGAGATCTATCCGAAGCAAAACTCTACTGGGGCAAAAATAAAGTCACGCGAAAACCTACACTAATGAGGTCCTCCAGAGTTCACACACATATTAACATGGGAATCTACAGCTCCACACGGCATCCGAAGGTTTGTTCAGATTTGTTCAGGGAACAGGCTGGGGTCTCTTCTCCTCCAGCTTCTCCTTTTAAAGTCCCCAGCTGAATGGCATTAGGACACCTGGGGGAGGCGGAGCCAGGGGCGGGCCAGGTGTACCTGTGCAGCAGAGAGACAGAGAAAAACAACAAGAGCACGTAACACCCCCACCATGAGTTAGTGATTTTTTTTTTTTTTTTTTTTTTTATACAAACAAAACAAAACAATCACAACAATCGACTTTAGGTCGACAGACGTGCTCAACCACTCGGTCCACACACCGAACAGGTTGCATATCATAAGCGCGACAATGCACCAGCCAACACATTGTCCTTGCCACGAATGTGTTTGACTTCAACATTGAAGGCTTGCATGAAAATGCTATCAACCTATGATTTGTGTTACGCATTCTCTGCAGGAACACAAGGGGGTTGTGATCGGTAAAAATAGTGACAGGGATGTTTGATGACCCAACGTATACCTCAAAGTGGTTTAAGGCCAGAACCATAGCCTCCTTTTCGATGGTGGAACCAACGGTGGAACACACCCGCTGGTGGGGATTGAATTTCTTGGAGCGGTATGATACAGGGCGCTCCACCTCACGATCAGTTCAAACACATCTGCACGCTGCGCATCAGGCAAGTGTGCTAAATGAGACTCAATATTTACCAGACACCATTCCTTTCATAAGAAACGGAGCAAAAACTTCCAGTTCTGACTTGAGAGACCCTGGCTTTGAAGTACTCACCAAGGCGACCGTCTTTACAGGCTTCTCCTCATCCCGTAAAGCATAACAATTCGCAACCACATGACCTCTTTTCTTGCAGAAATAACACACTGGGCTATCCCTAGGTCCCCAATTCACCTCTCCCGGTTTTTCCTCAACATTTCCTGGCCTGCTGGACTGCCATGGCACGTTAGTGGGGACTGGGGTTTCCCTGATGTTGTTGTCCACAAACCGGGCCTGTGCCCCCCCCCTCTCACTGAAGACAGACTTGTGAGTAAGAACATACTCGTCAGCCAAAACCGCAGCATCGGACAGTCTTATGGGTTTCTGCTCATTCAGATAAGTGGCCACCCTGTCAGGTATACATTTTTTAAATTCCTCCATGAGTAACAAGGCTTTTAGATCCTCTAGATATTTGACCCCCGTCGACGAGCACCAACGCTCAAACAGAACCTCTTTTTCACGGGCGAATTCCACATAAGCCTGACAATCATTTTTCTTTAACCCACGAAACCTCTGACGGTACGCCTCAGGCACCAGCTCATAGGCGCGCAGAATTGCCACCTTCACCTGCTCATAATCCAGGCTAACCTCTTCAGACAATGCAGCATACACCTCCTGTGCTTTACCCGTGAGAACACACTGCAGCATAACGGTCCACATATTTTTAGGCCATTTCAATGTGGTTGCTACCCGTTCAAAAAGGATAAAATAATTGTCAACATCTTTCTCGTGAAACACCGGGATAAATCGAGTATATCTACCCACGTCAAAGTCATGCGATTGTGCTGAGCCCAACTGCTGAGTGTGGCGCGATAATGCCGTCAACTCCAGCTCCTTCAAACGAAACAAACGATTAGTCTCCTCCTCCAGCTTCCTGATTTCGAGATTACAGTCGACCTCCTTCTCTCTCAGTTTATTGTCAATCTCCTTCTCTCTAATCATCAGTTTACGCAACTCCAGCTGAAGTTGAAGCTCGCTTATTGTCGGAGAGACCTCTGTCTCCTCGTCTTTGGGAAAACCAGCAACGCCCCCCTCCTCCTCCGATAACACTTCCTGCTCTACCAGCGCAGCCAACAGCTGTTTTTTAATGACCTGTTTCTTGCTTTGTTTACTACACGGAACGTTAAACCTGCCTGCGATTAACTGAAGCTGCTGTTTGTTACAAGCATCCAACTTCCCCCGAGTTGGAACCTTAGCAAACTCCTCCAAGTCAAAATCCATTCTAACGTGAAACTCACCCGAACCAGAAATCAGGTAGCCTATTTAGGCAACTCTACACTGCACACAAACAAAACACATGCTGTCAAGGGCCATTCTACAAAAGAAAAACACCGGCACCTGCCCGAGACAGCCTTTGGACGAGCCCCCATATGTTACGACCCGTCCTCTACCAAGTGGTAGTGGCTCGTGGGAAGACCCGCAACATAAAATAAACCACACAAAACACGCAGCACTTGTCGGCGAGCATTTATTAAAGCGCACCGCCGTTACTCACATGTGCCCACCGGCAAACGAACCATGTCTGGAGGACGGCAAAAACAAACAAAAGAAGAAGGGGGCCTGGGCCAACCAGTCCTCTGGCCGTAGGACCCAGAACTTCCCTCCTCTACCCAAAGATCTATCCGAAGCAAAACTCTACTGGGGCAAAAATAAAGTCACGCGAAAACCTACACTAATGAGGTCCTCCAGAGTTCACACACATATTAACATGGGAATCTACAGCTCCACACGGCATCCGAAGGTTTGTTCAGATTTGTTCAGGGAACAGGCTGGGGTCTCTTCTCCTCCAGCTTCTCCTTTTAAAGTCCCCAGCTGAATGGCATTAGGACACCTGGGGGAGGCGGAGCCAGGGGCGGGCCAGGTGTACCTGTGCAGCAGAGAGACAGAGAAAAACAACAAGAGCACGTAACAGCCCTCATTGGTCATGTGCGCGTTCGTGTGTGTTGGAGGAGGGGCTCTGTAAGGAAGTGGCAGATGTATTTTCAAATTCTAGCGCACTCGAGCTGGTTTCTCCAAAATTACCTACCCCACCTTTAAGGCTAATAAAAATGAGGCTGTAATGCTAACTAACGTGCTTGCTACTAGCTAGGTAGCTAACTTGATCCAGCCACTCCTGGTCCTTTCATCAGACGGGAAGCGAAAGAACGAGCAAGACCCATTGCTGGTATGATTACAACCTGCTGGTACTAAGCACACAGGCATCTTGTTAAAGTTATCTTATCTTAGCTATCTCTTATATTTAGTGGAGGAAAACAATTATGACATCAGTTATGACATCACTTACGCGACTCTGGGATTTGTAGTTGCGTATTTTTCATAGTCTTATATTTCAACAGTTTTACGACAAACTGTGACTTTTTTGACATGGAAATGTTTTTTTAAGATTGACAAACATATGTGTAATTCATGGCAAAATTCAAACGGGA